CAGCCTGAGACTGTTTTTGAAACCTAGATATTTGGTATCATTTGGCCTTTAAGCTTTTACACCTCTTGGCATGGAGGACAAAGAGAGCTGTAGGCTGTAGCTTAAGGGTCTACATTTTAGACCAGATTTATATTTTCACTGTCAGAAGGGCAAATGAGTGGAAAAATTGTTAGTACATTATTGGGTTTTTAAATTTTCCTGTTTTGTTTTTGGCTTGTATCTTGGCTGAAAAAAACTTTTTTTTTTTTTTTTTTGAGACAGGATTTCTCTGTCTCAATTTATGTTAATAAACTGTTGCAAGATTTCTTGGGGAAAAAAAAAATTAAAGACCTCTAACAATCTAACAGACTGTGAACTGAGCAGCTTTTGTTACCATGAGCAGATACTCCGGAGAATCAATTATTTGGGGTGCCGAATTTAAAAATCTGAAGCTGGGGGGTTGAGGATTTAGCTCAGTGGTAGAGCTTGCCTAGCAAGGCCCTGGGTTCGGTCCTCAGCTGGGGGGGGGGGGGGGATTTTTTTTGAAGCTAGGGTCACTTACCCCTGTTGCTTTGGGGTCTGTGGTGAGGCATCGCATCAGGTGGCAGTGTAGACGGAAGAAATGATTTACCTCACGGAGGCTGGGCAGGAAAGAGAAAATAAGGAAAGGAAAGGGCCAGACTCTGGTACCAAGGCCACACCCCGAGACCCTACTTCCCCGAACCAGGCTACGTCTAGATGTCCCACCACTTCCTAACAGTTTCATGGCTGAAGTTTAAGTCTTACACTCACCACTCACCGGCCTTGGGAAATCTGCAGAGCTTAGGCTTGGCCTAAGTAAAAACAACAACAACAAAACCCCTCAAATTAAAAGAAACAAAAGTTAAGCCTGGCATGGTGGTACACACACTGGGAAACATGAGGATTTTAAGTTTGAGGACAGTCTGGACTACATACTAACACCAGACATAAAACAACAACAACAACAACAACAAAAAGCCGGGTGGGGGTGGCGCATGCGTCTTTAATCCCAGCACTCGGGAGGCAGAGGCAGGCGGATCTCTGTGAGTTCGAGGCCAGCCTGGTCTACAGAGCGAGCTCCAGGACAGGTACCAAAGCTACACAGAGAAACCCTGTCTCGAAAAAAACAAAACAAAAACAAACAAACAAACAAATCAAATATAGGCCGAGACACCAGGCTGTGCCCGGCCCTTGTCCGGTGGGTGTGGCTGAAATGGAGCCAGTATATGGTGGAGAGATAGGAGAAAAAGAGAAGCCAAGTAGTCTGTGCTCTGTGAAGAGAGGTGGAAATGGAGTCACGATGGCGGTGAGGAACATGTGCCTGAGTCCACGTGATGTCTGGGCCTGTGCTGCCGAGACCCGTGTCTGTGTTCCTACTGCAGCCGGGGTCTGTGTAGATGTCCATGGCTGTGTTACAAGGAAGCCTGCAGATGTCCGAGGTCTGTACTGTAGCCTGAAGCAATGTTAATGTCTGAGGGCTGTGCTGAGCTGGCTCCTCCCACTCCGGCCACCTCAAAGGTGGCACCACTGGTGATGTGGGTGTGGGAGAACTGGCCCTTTCACTTGTTAGCTGCCTAAGGCGTGGGAGAGCTGGCCGTGGATGGCCCCAGCCCTCATACACACAGGGAGAGTTGGTACTGCCCCTCGCCTGGTCAATGGGAGAGCTGGCTTCAGTGGCGTGGGCACCAGAAAGCTGGTGGCCTGACCAACTCAGCTACCACCCAGGCCCAGATCCAGGGCTTTGAGTTGGCCCACCCTAACATCTTCCTCATCTATGAGCTGTTGGAGCTCATGAAGGGACAGGTCCTCTACAAGATCCCAGCCCCCCTGACTCAGGACAACGGCAGGTGGCACACCTTTAATCCCAGCGCTTGGAAGGCAGAGGCTGGTGGGTCTCTAGTTTGAGGCCAGCCTGGTCTAGAGATCCCGTTTAAGGACAGCCAAGATTGGGCAATGAAGGAAACTATGGACAACAGAAAGCTGGTGAAGATGTCATTGAATGAGTGGGCCATGTTCCAGCCTTAGCAAGCAGCAGAACTTGGCAGCTTCGGACATATGGTTCTGGCTTTAGAGTTAAGGAAGAAACAGGTTATGGAGTTTGCCCACACCTAAGGAAAGCTGAGGCCAGGCATGTGTAAGAATGTCCCTGAATAGAGGCCATTTCATGAAGCTGTAAATTTGAAGCCTGGATTGCCTTGGAGACCCCAAGATGTTGGAGATGCCAAAGTCATGGGATCTCTGTTAAAGAAAGCTGTTAATCGGTGTAGCAACGCCCGCGTTACTACCTGTTCACCATGTCCGATTGAGGGGCTGAGGATTAAAACAGAGACAAGACAGAGGGTCATTCATCTCAGTAGAATGCCCTTTATTGAAGGGCGGAAGAGGCCTTAAATACTGACTTACAGCACAGTGGAAGAACCTGGGAGGGCAAAAGTTCGCTACAGATGTTTTACATTCTAGCATTATACCCATATGCAGGATACCAAACAAGGAACCTCCGGTAAGCTGTTTAGGAGCAATGAAACCGGCAGGGAGCTAGCACAGGGAGGACATCTGATCAAGGTCAGCAAGCAAGGCAACAGCTCCCCAAGGAACGGGGGGCAGGGCCCAACAAATGGGGAGTGGAACCAGCCCAAGAGAAAGAAGTATGCTGCAGTCAGCAAAACTGAATGAGCTAGAGATCTGGAGTGTCTTAACATAAGACGTGGAGATGCAGAGTCTGGAGTTTGCCCTGCTGGTTTTTGGCCTTGCTTTGGTACACTATGCTCCTTTCCCTGCATTTTGGAATTGTAATATATATTTGTTATGAATTGCATGGGGGACCCTAGCTGGCCAGGGCATCCCACATGTGCAGGGAAACAGGCTGGCGTGTAGGGCAGATGCAGCGGTGGGCTGGCAGGTGATCCACGCCAACATACACACAGACAGAACACTGTATACATAATAAATAAATAAATCTTAAAAGAAAAAGTCATGTGCATTGGTTCCCCCTATCTACAAAGGGATAGTCCACACCCCAGTGGATGCCTGGAAACATTTAGTATTGACTCTTAACACTGTCCACTCCTAGGCTTACACACCTATTATAAACTTACAATTTGGGCACAGTAAGACATTGTTAAATAGAACAATTTTCCTAGTAACTTATTTTACAACTTCCCATGTTGCAGTAGTCCCTAACTGTAATCCCAATATTTGAGACATGGGAAGATCAGAAGGTCAAGGTCATCCTTGTTATATAGCAAGTCTAAGGACCACTTAGAACATGCAGACTTAAAAAGTTAAAGATGACCGGGCGGTGGTGGGCGCACGCCTTTAATCCCAGCACTCTGGGAGGCAGAGCCAGGTGGATCTCTGTGAGTTCAAGGCCAGCCTGGGCTACCAAGTGAGTTCCAGGAGAGGCACAAAGCTACACAGAGAAATCCTGTCTCGAAAAACCAAAAAAAAAAAAAAAAAAAAATGTTAAAGCTGTTTCTGGGGAGGCCTGCAGGGGTTGATAAATTGGTCAGATTAAGCCCATCGTCTTTGTAATGCTCCTATTAAATAGGAGTAAGTTCTGGGCCGAGCTGGCTGGTGGGCCAAGGGGCCTACTACCGAGCCTGATTTGATAACCAACTCCAACAGGATGTCCTCTACCCTCCCCGTGTTCCCAGAGGTGCCGTAGCCTTTTCCTGTACCTTTGCCTGAGTCTCTTCCACCTGTCTGCTTGTCTACAGGCTTTGCAGTAGCCGTAAGCATTGGCCAATGACCATGAGCTGCTCCAGCACATTAGCGCTCCTCCAGAAGAGGGGGTCATGAGATTACGAGGTATAGCTGTTTGGTTGGACACTTAGGCCACCACCCTGGGCTTGTAAATCTGAAGAGGTGGCCTCAACCTGAGGGCAGAGCTAATCTCTAGGAGTTTTAATCAGGACACCTAGCTGGCCTTAGCACACAACTCACCTAGATCCCAAGGGAAACACTATATATATCCAGCAAGTGCCTGGGGCCATCGTCCTAACTCCTTTCTTGACACTCCTTGCAGAAAGTTAAAGCAGGAAATTGTGCTGTTTTCTAGTGAGACAACCACAATACAATGCCACATACTTGCAACTTAGAATCTATGTATTGATAAATTGGGCTTAGTCAAGATATGGCAGAAGAAAACTTGGGAGCTAGAGACAAGACCAGGAGTTGAAGACCAGCTAGTCCTGTGGAGACCCTGTCTCAAAACTAAGCAGGGTTGGTAGCACACTTCTAATCCCTAAGACCCTAGAAGCAGAGGAAAGATTTCCATTTAATTTGATCCTCTCACCCATCCCCTCCTTGTCTACAGAATGAGTGCCAGCCAGGGCTGCATATGAAGACCTGTCTCAAACCTATCAGGTTGCCAATATGGCTGAACACTTGAGTTTGATCCCCAGATTTTACAAGGAGAGAACTGACTCCTGACACATGTCCCCATGGAGTACACACATGCACGAACAAGAGGCTATCTAGATGACTCAGTCAGGTGCTTGTCGCCAAGCCTGGTGACCTGACAACCTGAGATCAATCCCAAGGATGAAAAATACTGACGAGTTATTATGACCTCCACATGTACTCTGGAATGTGCATGCCCATACACATACATAATACAAGTAAAAATAATTCCCAAACTCCAATGGTTCACTTTTATTTGTTCTGCATATTTAATACTAAAAATTAAGATAACAAGAATTTATTGCAAAATTGCCTTTATTACAAATTTCTGTGAATTAGAATATACAAAGATCTATTCCAATTATTACCTTCTAAACCAAACCATCCCCAAATTCTACTGACACTCTTTCAAGTCACTGTATTTAACCCCAGACTTGAGACTCATTCTTGTTTCTTTGGGTCAAACTAAAGGCATTCTTGTGCATTCAAACTTCACAAATCCCTATCATTTAATGATCTTTGTAAAAAAAGCTTTTCACACCTGCTGCATGGCACCATCAGCAGTAAGGGCAGCGGACACGTCGGCCCTGAACTGACTCCTAATTCTGCCCTATTCTAGCATTCTCAGCAGGATCCCACCCTTGATACACGCAGAAAGTGCAGAGGCATCTGAACGGCTCACTCTCATCCTGAAAGAAATAATGCCATACATAGGTCAATCAGGACATTGCAACCCAAATAAACATAAATCCTCAACTGTGTGTTAAGTACTGGGTTCAATAACCAGAATTCCTAGGGGTTGAGAGCAGACACCGTGCGCTGCCCCCCCCCCCACACCCTGTCCAAACCAAATAAAACAGACACCCAACTCACCAACACGTATTAGCAATAAAAAGTTTTTTACCCTCTCTCCATTACGGCTTCTTAGTGTCTTTTCAATCTTCAGGAGAAAAACAAAAACAAAATTATTTAAAACTCAAGACAAAGTCAGAGCAACTACGATGTGAGAAGCTGGTTTTGGGCAGCACTGTGAAAGTGAACAGGAGGACCATCCCCAGATTAAGGCCAGCCTGGTCTACACAAAGGAACAGGCCAGCTATGGCTCCAAGATCCAGTCCAAGTTAGTTTAGCCATGCATGGTAGCTTAAAACCTGTATAATCCCAGCACTGGAAAAGAACAAGGGGCAAGTTTGCAGACTGAATTGGAGGCCAGCCTGGGCTACAGTGAGACTCTCAAAAAACAATAAAAGTTATATCCAGAGTGACCTATTGCTTACCACTGCCTATTTGCATGTAGCTCAGGCTGGCCTCAGACTATGTAGCAGAGGATAGAAGCAGTCACTATCTTGTCATGGTAATTTAGGCTGCATTCCCCAGAGGTTGGATTGCTATCTAATAAACCCTGTCCACAAATGCAACTCACCCGCATAAATCTTTTCATCCTTGCTACAGGATCTTTCTGCACAGACAGTAGTGTGCGGACTCTTCTCTTGGGAAAGGCACTTTGGACTGCTCTCAAGATTTTCTCACTGTTGTTCTCCACCACCCTCCTCTTCACTGGGGGACGGGAGCGGCGATGGTTGCGGCGACTATAACGTATTGGCTGAAAGGGAGACTTCTCGGCACTGGGGTTGAGCGTCAGCTTTTTCAGGTCCTTTGCTAACATGTCTGACTGTGAGACTTCAGAAACAGAAGTAAAGAGCCATTAGTGTGAGGTGCACCATTCTCCAAGGCATTCCTCCAGACAGATACCCATCCTTTTCCTTCTCAAGGGGCCAACCAGACGTACTGCACGTGCACAGGGCCCATGGCCAAAGCCCAGGCAGCTATCCTAGAGTTTGTGTAGAGATCCCAGGCACTACATTGTTCTATCGGCCTATCTGCCTGTCTCTAGGTCCAGAGGTTCTGAGACCTGCATTCATGTGCAGGAACACACACACACACACACACACACACTTCCAGAGAATCTGCACCCTAAGCCAACTGTGCTGGGAATGTGGCTTAGTTGGAGAGCTTCCCCAGGTGGGGCTCTGGAAGTCTTCAAAATAAAAAACCTAAATCTAATTGAGTTGTCCAAATGCTTCCTATTGGACTCTAAACAGCATGTTTTAGGAAACCAATTCTGCTTTTTCCCATTTGAACCATTCACATCTAGTAGATAGACCTGTCTTAAAGAAGAAGCTCCCCTGGGCGTGGTGGGTGGGGTGGGTTTAATCCTAGCACTTGGGAGGGAGAGGCAGGCGGATCTGAGTTCAAGGCCAGCCTGGTCTATAAAGCTAGTTCTATGACAGCTACAGAGGAACCCTGCCTGGGGTAGGGTGGGTGAGGGGAAGAGGAAGCTCACCCAAGTGTCATCAAGGTTGAACTGTCATGAAATTAAGTCAGGTCATGGTGGCTCACCTTTTTTTTTTTTTTTTTTTTTTGGTTTTTCGAGGCAGGGTTTCTCTGTAGCTTTGTGCCTTTCCTGGGACTCACTTGGTAGCCCAGGCTGGCCTCGAACTCACAGAGATCCGCCTGGCTCTGCCTCCCGAGTGCTGGGATTAAAGGCGTGTGCCACCACCGCCTGGCCTCATGGTGGCTCACCTTTATTTCCAGGTTTGGGACACAGAATTTGGGTCTAGCCTGGCCTAAACACAGTGAGTTTTAGGCCAGTAGGGGCAACAGTCTCAGAAGTAAAACTAAAGCTCCAAAGCATAAGGGCAAAAGAATTATCACATGGAAATAAGGAGGTCACATGTAGCTGTCAGGTCGGGGAGATCTAGGGCAAACATCTCTTTTCCTCTCAGATTGGATTCTCTATAACACGAGGAAAGATCTAGTAGGGCAACAGAGGGCCCCTCCCTAGTAACACCCGTGGACCCCAAGGCCAGGAGATGGTAAACCTGGAGGTCCTCAGGCACAACTTCACCTGCAGCTGTTCCTAACCACCCAACGAGTACATGGCTCACCTGGTCCTGGGCTCTTTCCCCTGAAAACCCATTCACCTGAAATGTAAATTTAAGTAGAAAGCTGCTCCCAGAAAAGTGGGTGAGAGTAAGAAAAAGACTAAGTTCAAGTGAAGTTTAAGATTGCTGTGTATCGGGGCTGTGGTGGCTCACGCCTTTAATCCCAGCACTCAGGAAGCAGAGGCGGGCGGCTCTGAGTCTGGTCTACAGTTAGTTCCTGGACAGCTGGAGCTACACGGAGAACCCAGTCTCGATAACCAAAGAGTCCTGTGTTTGAAATAAAAACCTGCAGCTGGGCCGTGTTTAATCCGAGCACTCTGGAGGCAGAGGCAGGAGGATCTCGAGTTTGCGGCCAAGCTGGGCTACAAAAAAGTTCCAGAATGGGGCTGGAGATGGCTCAGCGGTTAAGAGCACTGGCTGCTCTTCCAGAGTACCCGGGTTCAAGTCCCAGCACCCACAGGGTAACTCAACAACAATTCAGTTCCAGAGGATCCAACACCCACTCACAGACATACAAAACATAAATGCACTTAAAAGTGAAGATAAATCATTGATTGGGGGAAAAAAAAAAGTCCCAGGATATCCAGGACTACATAGTGAGACCCTGTCTCAAACAAAATGGATTTCTGCGCCAAAACAGGACAAGAAAACACAGAAGGCTGTCCACCCCTTTAATCCCAGGACTCCACCTCTGTACCCCACGACAGGGGCCTGTAAACCACAGTGACCTGGAACTGCTGGTCCTCCATCTGCTCGTGTTGGGATCCCAAGTGCCAGCGGCCTACCCGCCTAGCAAGAGGAGGAAAAATGGCGGCCTGCTGACTTCCCAAACCCGGGGCCAAAAGGCCGGCCTACCTGAGTCATCACAGGAGTCTTGATCATCGCTGGTCTGAGGAGGCTCTGAGTTCAGAACTTCTTCGAACATCTCCGAGGGCTCCTCCATGACGATGGGCAGAGGCCTCTAACGCTCCAAACAAAATTGCTTCGTCTTGGAAAAGACCGAAAGGAAACTGGCGAGCAGAGACGGTCCGCTTGCTTTTTATATTCCAAGCCAACCGCTCCCCCAGGCGACTCCAATGCTAATGACGCGGAGATGAAAGGCTCCACCTGAGTTAAAGGCGAGTCCGCCTGCTCCGCCGTAATACTAACTCCAGCAAAAACACTAGAAATTTGGCTGGGTGTGTCAGCCTCCACCTTTAATTCCCGTTGTAGGGAGGCTGAGGCAGGGGGATCTCTCTGCGTTCTAAGCCAGCTTTGGTCTACACAAAAAGTTAGATCCTGCCACAAATAGAAAGAAAGAAAAAAAAAGAGTGAAAATTTTATCTAGAGTCACTTTTGGTTTCCTGAAATAGGGATTTTGTTTTGTTTATTACACTCTTGGAGGTGGCTAGTGATGGAGAACTGGATTTAAACGTTCTAAAATAAGCATGCAGTTGTCTGTCAGTTAATTCCTAATTAAGTTCATTTGAAAGTTTCCTTTACCTGCCTCATCTTAAATCTTCAGAGATTGTTCACTTTGTAATGCTACTAAATAAATATGTATGCTACACACACTTAAATAGGTTGACATTTTATTGTGTGTGCGCGCGCGCAGCGCGCGCACACACACGCGCACACACACACATATATTTAAGCATGGAATTTAAGCATATATAATTGTGAATTGTTTCATACATAGACAATACATTTCAGACTTTGTCTCAAAAAATAATAAATAATAAATTTAATTTTATAAGTTGCTATCTCTCCACTCCAAAAATACTTGGCTTGAGTTATGTCAAAGTGTACCAACATGGGCCACCATCTTCAGAAAGTAGAATGAAACCCCAAATTACCACAGCTTTTGTTTTCTGTTTTTCTTTTTCTTTCTTTTTTTTTTTTTTTTTTGTTTATTTGTTTGTTTGTTTTTCGAGACAGGGTTTCTCTTGTAGCCTGGCTGTCCTGGAACTCGCTCTGTAGATCAGGCTGACCTCAAACTCACAGAGCTCTGACTGCCTCTGCCTCCCGAGGGCTGAGATTAAAGCCAGGAGCCATCCAGCTTTTTGTTTTCCTTTAGACAAGGTCTTTTACTGTGTATCCTCAGGTGGCTTGGAACTTACAGACTGGCTTTGAAGCTGCAGGAATTGTCCTGCCTCTGTCTCCTCTGCCTCCCACAAGGCTGGGATCATAAGAGCGATCACCACCAGGATAGCAAACTATTTTTTAATACTTCATTCAAGTAGTTTTCCAGTGTTGTTTTCAAAAGAAATTATCAACAGGACCTGGCTAACTTCTTTGGTATGCAAATTGGAAGCCGTAGTTCAGACAGGCTGAATCCTGTTAAAATGCAAACCGTCTACTAAGTCCTAGACAGGAATCCAGGCCACCTGTGCTAGAGTTTAAGCAGAATTTAGTGCTTTACAGCCCCTTGGACCTGTTGATCTTCTCTCATCTGAGAATTCCATTGGAGAAGATAGAGAAATAAGTCCACAGTGGGTGCAGGTGTTCTCCTGAGGCTCAGTGATACAGAGCTTGCCCAGCAGGCACGAGGCCTTAGTTACAGGTCTCAGCCCTACCAAAGTAAACAGGCAAGCACAGCTAGCTGAGATGCCACAACCTGTCCAATTCATGTTATCTTTATTTGATTTTACATATTTAAAGTTACATTTATTTGTGTGTGTGTGGGGGGGGGGGGCCCAGAATGGAACTCAGGTTCGAGAACAACTGCCCTGGAGCTAAAGGTGTGCTCCATCCTATCACAAGGGGCAAAGAAAATCAAGGTGGGTCCTGGGAGAAACAAAAACAGTTTCTAGGCCGGGCGGTGGTGGTTCACGCCTTTAATCCCAGCACTTGGGAGGCAGAGCCAGGCGGATCTCTGTGAGTTCCAGGCCAGCCTGGGCTACAGAGTGAGATCCAGGAAAGGCACAAAGCTACACAGAGAAACCCTGTCTTGAAAAAAAAAAAATAGTTTCTAATTTTATCCCTAAAATTCTTCCTATGAGAGCTTTACACTTGAGACAGGATGGTTAAATTCACAGGTCACATGCTTTGCCTTAAGCATGAATCCCCCCACCTCCCCTTTGGAACAAAGACTTTTTCCTTTTCTTTTTAGCTTTTTGAGACAGGGTTTCTCTGTGTAGTTTTGATGCCAGTCCTGGATCTCGATCTGCTGACCAGGCTGGCCTCGAACTCACAGAGATCCCACTGGCTCTGCCTCCCGAGTGCTGGGATTAAAGGCGTGCGCCACCACTGCCCGGCAGAGCACCCTGGAGAACCATGCAATGCTGGCTGCCTTGGATGCAATCCTGGACCACAAGCCCTTTGCGACTGGACCTTGCGACCAGAACCTTTCCTCTCACCTTGCTGTTTACTGTGGACCCTGCATTGTCTTCAAAATACAGAAGCACCCTTGATTCCCGTCACAGAGATGATACCACATTTCTGGCTCCTGTATTGTCAGCACAGTGAGTAACAGCTCCTACTAAAAGACCCAGGGAAATCCGGAATTTCTCTCCGGAGGGCCCACCACATCCTCGCTTCTGCATTTTGAATGCCCGGAAAGACTCAGAAAAAGCCCTTAAGCATGATTCTTTGTTAACAATCTGATTGAAACCTCTCATTTAAAAAAAAAAAAATATTGTCTTTATATCATTTCACAGCGGGTTTATTAAATTAAAAAAAACTATTCTTTAATTTTGTGTAGCACTGGCTGTCCTGGAACTTGCTCTGCAGACCAGGCTGGCCTTGAACTTAGAGATCTGCCTGCCTCTGCCTCCCTAGTGCTGGAATTATAGGTGTGTGTCACCACCACCTAGCTCCAAAATTCTTAATTAGCTAAGGAAAGATTTCAAATTTAATGCTTCAGGACCCCTACCCCTTCCCTTGGATTCCCTGTGAGGTGCCTGCTTTTTCTGAGCCCTGACCCAAGCACCCCTGTGTAACCAACACACACCCTAAAATGCCTAGTTCGCATCAAGATAGTGTCTATGAAAAAAATATTAAGCCCAACAGAGACAGCCCGTTCAAACCTAGCCAGCCACCATCTTTGAAAGCTGGCCTACAGGTTCATTTCGTGGTGTTTTTTAGGCAGGTTCTTGCTATATAATCCAGGTTGGGTTTGAACCCTTGATCCTCCTGCAGGGCTGGGATTATAGAGTGCACCCGGCTCTGACCCCTGTTTCATTACCCTCTCACTGTATTACCTCTCCAGGTTAAATCTCTCACCTACCAAGGCCATGACAGTTTCTAGTTTCCATAGTGATCCTGGGACCTGGCCATATATGCAAGAAGAGGGAGATGGAATTCTTACAGTCATAGAGGCTTCTCCCTAGAAAAGTCACTTTCTAACACACTTGACCCTCCCCACCTCTTCTCCTGCTACAGAGATGGGTGGGAAGTGTGGCCTGCCTGACAGCGGACTTCCCATTTCTGCCCATCACCGGCTACTGAATAAAATTTTCCTTGGACTACAGAGACCTCTGCTGTTGTTATTGGCTCTGCTCTACAGAATGAAAGGCCGAGATCTGACCGGGTTGAAAACTGGTTTAGAGCTGCTCTATGTTAGTATGAAATCAGATTTTTTTCTTTTTGATACAGTATGGCTATGTAGGCCTGGCTGGCCTGGAACTCACCATATAGACCAGGTTGGCCTTGAATTGTCCTGCTTGCCTCCCTGAGTGCAGGGATAAAGGTAGTGCCACCGTGCCAAGCCCAGTTTCCCAGCTGTGTCCTCCTCTGTCACTTCTTCACAACACCTTAGTCATAGTTTATGGCTAATAACTGCAGTAATTGCTACTGACTGCTGCATGTGTGAGCGTGTTCTTTTTAGCTTTTTCTTTTCATTGTTTTTGGCTTTTTGAAACAGGGTCTTGTTTTGTAGCTCTTGCTGGCCTCAAACTCCCAGCAATTCTCCTGCCTCTCAACCTTCCAAGTTCTGGGATCACATGCATATACTATCATGCCTGGCTTGTTGTTTTGTTTTTTGTTTTTTCAGAGCTGAAGACTGAACCCAGGGCCTTGAGCTTGCTAGGCAAGGGCTCTACCACTGAGCTAAATCCCCAACCCTACCATGCCTGTCTTAACTTTCAAAAATCAAAATGAGCTGGGCGGTGGTGGCATACACCTTTAATCCCAGCACTCGGGAGGCAAAGGCAGGCGGATCTCTGTGAGTTCGAAGGCCAGCCTGGTCTACAGAGAGAGTTCCAGGACAGCCTCCAAAGCTACACAGAGAAACCCTGTCTTGAAAAAACAATACAAAACAAAACACAATCAAAATGGGCTCAGGATATATCTCGATGGTCCAGTATCTGTCATGTACATGATGCCTGGAACTCAATCCCAGGAGGAAAGGGGGGGGGGGGGGAGAGAAAGAGTGAGAAGCAAGGAGTCACCAGAAGTGAAAAAAAAAAAAAAAGTTAGGACGGGCAGTGGTGTCTCATGTCTTTAATCCCAGCACTCGGGAGGCAGAGGCAGTCAGATCTCTATGAGTTCGAGGCCAGCCTGGGCTACCAAGTGAGTTCCAGGAAAGGCACAAAGCTGCACAGAGAAACCCTGTCTCAAAAAACCAAAAAACAAAAAGTTAAAAACAACATGGTGGCACATGGATCTCTGTGAGTTCGAGGCCAGCCTGGTCTAGAGAGTGAGTTCCAGAACAGCCAGGGGGATACACAGAGAAACCCTGCCTCAATAAACATATACATTAATTAAATCAACCAACCTGGTGGTGAATGCCTTTAATCCTAGCACTCCAGAGTCAGAGGCAGGTGGGTCTCTCGGAATTTAAGTCCAGGTCAGCTAGGACTACAGTGAGACCCTCTCTCAAAAAAAAGAAGCAACCAACCAACCAACCAACAAATGATTAAGTCCTTTGGGTATGCATATTACATTCATACCCTCACCTCAGATCACATCACAATACTCAAAAAAGGGGACATATTTCTCTTCATATTTTTTTTTTTTTTGTTC